CTCACGTCGCTTGTTCGGGCTGAGCCCGGTCGGCGCTTGCCTGCGAGTCCCAACCCCGGGCCTGGCTCCAGGGTGGGGCCCCGGTGACGTCAATCTGGGCGACGTGAACCTCTTTGATTTTGTTTTCTTCATCAAGGAGGGGGGGTTTGAACCGCTATTTGTCTGATCCGTCGCCTAGGACCTGTTTGCCTTGGGAGACCCTACCAGCGCCATTAAGCCCCCGACAACATAGCTCCTAGGTTCATTCGGATACTCGAACCCCTCCACCACGTTAAGGTTGTGGTTCAAGGAGGGGCTTTACAATGATATCTTGGAATATTTCACAGAAAATATTACACTGTGAATAGTTAGTCAGTCAGTTGCTCAGCATTGGGACAGTGGCTTTGTACCTCTAGCGTAGCTCCGACCCAGAAGGAGTAGCACGTGTCCACAGGCTTATTGGGGCGCCCGTGGAAGCCACTCTGCTGCCTCATGATGCACCAGCGTCGTATTCTGTTCAGCTCCCGCTGACTCAGCGCCTCGTCCAGGCGATCCATCAGACACAGAGAGGCTATGGCACAGTACGTCCACCCACCTGGACACACAGACAGGACGGTGCATCATGCCTGCTGCATATGTGCTAATTTGAACTGTGTATTTTTCAATATAGAATCACTATTAATACATTTAAATCAGCGATATTTTCCAAATACCAAATGAAAACGTAGAAACGACACAGCGCAATTTTAGCTTGGGATCATTTACTCTCAATCCTAAACCAGTTAGAACAGGCGTGGGCAAACTTTTTGACTCGCGGGCCAAAATTTGTCCTAAAATTTGACAGTGGGGCCGGGTGAGAAGCAGATGGATAGAACTAAGATAAATGACATGTAAATGTCATGCATTAAGGGTGAATGCTAAAATGCTTTTATCATTTTCTACGCCATCTATTGGGGAAACGTGGGCAAAGTATGATGATAAATAAAGATATAGATAAATTACATCATTTGGAAAAGTTTGGCAGGCCGGATTAGAAAGCTAAACGGGCCGCATCAGGCCCCCGGGCCTTAGTTTGCCCATGCCTGAGCTAGAAGATGTAAGCCAATCTAAGCCCTGCCCATTCATATAGTGGCTCGAGGGCCACATGCAGCCCAGATATAACCTCAGAATGACCCAATCTGTGATCATTTGAGACAGAGAATTAGGTTTGGCAAATAAAAAAAATGTCTACAGTAGAACAGAATGCGTATATAACACTGATTTAAATTAGATTAGCAACATGTATCCCACAATGAATCACCGTGTGTTTTTGCCACAAACTCTTATTTCCCAACAGAAGTGTTTATTTGCAAGAGGAGTGGTGGGGTATTGAACTTTTACATAGAAAGTAATAATTACTGGGGAAATGTATTAAATAAAAAGAGGCAATATATAAAAATTAGATAACACTAAAGAGAAACAAGAAGAAAGTTCATATAATTCCACCTGTTAGAGAGTGAACACCTTATTGGTATCAATGCCAACATGATTGATGGTGATGAACAAAAACATTAGCGTTTACAGTTTCTCTGTAATCAGATCTTGGATTACTGGATCAGAGCAAAGATATGAGTCTCACTGAAGCCTTTAATCGAAAAGAATTAGAGGATTTATCACTTAAAAAACAATGTCTTACACGCACATACATGAATTCTACATAAAAATAACAAAATAATCTTTTACCTAAAACCACTAGACAATGCTGTTTGCAGTACTTTAGAGTCTGTTCTAGAGGTTCTAAATCTGAATCATTCTAATTTTTGTGATAAGAGATTCATATGAGCAATTAATCTGATGGATTATAATGGCTAATCCCTTAAACCATTTACTTGCAACAGCTCGCAAGTAAATGGTTTACAAAAATGTTCAATTTTACTCCTTCAGCTGTGACTTGAAGTAGCATTCTTCTAATGTGATGAAGGTTGAGAAACAAATTATTACTTTCCATAATGACACAGCAGCTCATACTCACCATGTGACTCTCGTCCTGCTCCCTGTCCAAATCCATTGTCGTAGGACTGTGGAAAAAATAAAAAACAGAAAAAGACAGAGCTAATTAATCAAACAATAAAATGACAATTTAATTCACAACTTTAATCAAGGACAGGCTGTAAAAACAGACACACAGCAAGAAAACAAAGTAAATTCCCAAGTTTCTATTTGCCAGAGATCAACGATGGGATCCATTTTAACACTAAAGAGTTTCTCTCCAGCACTGTTTTGTGTGAAAAAACAAATAGTCATTAGTGGGAAAGTCATTATTTAACAATTTCGAGGGGGAAAAAAATTAACAAACTTTGTGTCTTTCTATAGTTTTCTGGGGGGGGGGTTTGTATCATTATTGGTAGAAAGAAAAACACTGTTCCATAGCTGTGAGGTGATGCTGCGCTGCCCAGACTCCATTTCTCATAAACAAGATATTCCTACACACAGTGTCACATTCTGAACGTGGGTAGCTCATTCTCCTGTGGTTCACCCTGTGCAGAGGCAGTAGGTGTGTTCTCAATGACAGCCCATCGTGACTGCAGTCAGAGAGACAGTTCATCTCTAGGTGTCTCAGACCTACTCACCAAACTTCCTCTGATGTAGTCAATGGCCTTCTGGATGTCCATACCTGACCAGTCATCCAGTATATAACAGATACTGGCTGCACAGTAAATGAAGCGAATGTCGTTTTCACTACCTTCTGGCACTGCATAGAAACTGGAACCACAGCGTGAAAAAAAAAAAAAAAACAGTTTCAATCACAACAGGGAAGTGGTTATTTAGAACAGGTAACATTTGAATCCAAACATGTAAAGTAAATCAAAAACTCTTCATTGATTGCATTTTTGTCTTAGAATAATAGAATATGCCACACCAGTGGTTTAATACAATGGGAAACTGTGTCTTTTCTCATGCTCCACTTTTCAAACATAGCCTATAAAGAGACCTCCATCCATGTCTCATTAAAGGTCTATGGTTAATGACCTGCCATCCTCCAGCTGTAGCGCTCTGAGACCGGCCAGACAGGTCTTTTTGTTGACTCTACTCAGGTCATCTCCCAGGATGAGCAACGAGCACAGCCCAGTGTAGGTCATAGCCACATGGCCACTGTCGTATGGATGAAAAACATCTGGACCCTGAACAATACAACAGACAAGGTGTTATTCAGTCAAATTCAGCAGAGAGACAAGAGTAGAAAAAAGCCTTTACAAAAGGAAGCCAAATCAGATGCAGAAAGCGTCTTTAAACAAACACAAATGTGGCACAGCTACAGACCAAGAGGTGAAGTTGAATTTGGCAAAACACTTCTACACAAAAACAATAGAAGCTTAAATAGCAATTGACAATCAATACCTTCTTGCTGTAAGGAATTCCAATATGTGACGAGCCTCTAAAACCACATCGACTGAGGTTGGACTCTATTAAAAAAAAGAGAACAGATAAACAGGAGGAGGAGAAATAAGTACAAGTCATCTGCAAACAGCATAGTCCGTGGGGACTCCTGTCTGACCTCATCTGTCAATCTGTCTATCACCACAGCAAACAAGAAGGGGCTCAGGGCTGATCCTTGATGTAGTCCCACCTCCACCTTGAAGTCTTCTGTCGTCCCAACAGCACACCTCACCATTGTTGTACTATTCTCATACATGTCCTGCACCAATCTAACATACAGTGGTATGAAAAAGTTTGGGCACCGCTGATCATTTTCAAGATTTTCCTTTATGGATCATTGGTTGTTCGGAATTCTGTCCATAAAGATAATGAACAGAACTGGTGACAAAGGGCAGCCCTACCGTAGTCCAACATGCACCAGGAACAGGTCCGACTTACTGCCGGCAATGCAAACCAAGCTCCTACTCCGATCGTACAGGGACCGGACAGCCCTTAGAAGAGGTTCGACTATCGGCCGGATTCTTCTCTCCTGGAATAGACTTTTCCCAGGAGGCTGAGGAGTGTGATCCCGATAGTTGGATCACACCCTCCGGTCCCCCTTTTTGAAAAGAGGTACCACCACCCCGGCCTGCCACTCCCGGGGTACTG